CTAACATACTTTGGACACGTTGTAAGGAGAGACCTGTCCTTGGAGAGGGACATCATGCTTGGGAGAGTGGAGGGACAGCGCAGGAGGGGAAGACCCTCTATGAGGTGGATTGATTCAGTGAATGGGGCAATCGGGATGGGAGTGTCAGAGACAGACTGGCACAGGACAGGGCAGAGTTTAGTGCTGTTGTACATAGGGTCGCTGTAAGTCGCAAGCAAGTCAACGGCATATAACAACAACAACATACTTGTTCATATTCTATGGCCTTAATTGACACTGCACAATCTTGACATTAATTATCTACTATATTATTTACTATAGACATATGTTGTTGTTAAGTGTCATCGAGTCATAGGCCACTTATTGTGACCCTATGAACAAAAGACCTGAACACATATATAATTTTCATCATTTCTCTACGTTCATAGAGTTTCCAGAGTATTTCGGAAGTGGATGCCTCTTCTGCTTCCAAGCTTGATCAGTTGCTGTGATGCTGAACACTGTGACTTGGGGAAACGATGAAAGTTATTTAAGTGTTCAGGTCTTTCGTTCATAGGGTAACTATGAGTCATCTACGACTTGAGGGCACTTAACAACAACAACATATAGATATATCCTGGCACAACATATGCTTACACAGTGCTGATTCTAAAGATGAAGTATTTAAAGCTCAATCAAAAATGGGGAAAAAAATAGTTAACTATCTGAAAACATTGTTAAAAAGACAGAATTGTGCCCACACTTTTCCTTGCTAGCAAGCTTTTACTGTTTCCCAACCCTTTCTAGCAATCAAGCTCTTTATGTGGGAAGACGGGTAACAGATCTGCTTAGACAGTGATCATGCTTACATGTTATTGCTTGTTGGTCCATTTGTGAAGACTTCTTTTTTCTTCATGCTGAGGCATAACCTGCACTGAAAGGTGTAGTCTTTGATCTTCTGCAGCAAGTGCTTCAACTCCTCACAGTCCCCAAAGTTTTGTCATCTGTATAATGCAGGCTGTTAATGAATATTCTTCTGATCTTGATGCTAGATTATTCTTCATATAGTCCATTTTCTCAGATTATTTGCTCTGCATACAGACTGAGTAGGTGTGGTGAAAGGATATAACCTTGATGTGTATTATTCTTTTTTTTTTTAATTCAGTGGAAAAGTTTATTCATGCCATAAGACAGAGGCATGACTAGTGAAACATGGGCCATGCAAGAGTTAGAATGAAAAAGAAAAGGAGGAAGGGGGAAAAGACCCCTAGAAAAACAGGGATGAGGCCAACCCTTACACCATGCTGTGAGCAGAAAGGGAGAGAAAAAGAGAGATACATATTATTCTTGATTTTAAACCATGCGGTATCCCCTATTTTCTTGTTCTGCTCAAACAGCTGCTTCTTAGTCTATGGGTTCTGCATGAGCACAATTAAGTGTTCTGGAATTCTCATTCTTTTTATTATCTATAGTTTATTATGAGCCACACAATCAATTGTCTTTAAATAAAGTTAATAAAACACAAGTAAACATCTTTCTGTTGGTCTCTGCTTTCAGCCAACATCTGTCTAATGTCAATAATGACATGCCTTCTTCTGAATCCAGTTTGAATTTCTGGTTAGTTCCCTGTTGATGTACTGGTCCAGCATTTAAAAATAATCTTCAGCAAGATTTTACTTGAATATGATTGTTGTTGTTATGTGCCATCGAGTCGCCCGCAACTGTACAACAGCCGTAAACCCCTGCTCTATCCTGTGCCAATCTTATTATCTCCAACACATCTACCCTCATTACCCTAGACACCGAATCAATCCATCTCATCAAGGGACTTCCTCTTTTGCACTGTCCCTCCAACCTCCCAAGCATGATGTCCCTCTCCAAGGACTGGTCCCGCCTTGCAACATGTCCAAAGTATGTCAAATGAAGCTTCAGAATCCTTGCCTCCAACCTGGTCTTACCCTCTCTAGGATGAACTTGTTTGTTCTCCTAGCAGTCCATGATATACTCAACACTCTTCTCCAGTACCACAGCTCAAAGGCATCAATTCTCCTCCTATCATCCCTAGTCATTGTCCAGCTTCCTGATGCATTGTAAGTAATTGCAAAGAACATGGCCTGTGTATCAGGTGCACCATAGTCTCCAGACTGACATCATTGCTCTTTAGTACTTTGGCGAGCTCTCTGACAGCAGACATTCCCAATGCAATTCATCTTTTCATTTCCTGGCTGCTGGTACCAAGAGTGTTGACTATGGAGCTAAGCAAACTAAAGCTGTTAACAATCTCAGTCTCTTCACCATCTAGCATGATGTTGCCAATCATCCCAGTGGTGAGAATCTTTGTTTACTTGATTTTGAGCTTCAATCCATATTTAAGATATTAGTGATATTATTTGATAATTTCTGCACTCTGTTGGATTACCTTTTTTAAAAAAAAAAATGAGAACAAATATGGATCTCTTCCCGTCAGTTGGATAGGTAGCTGTCTTCTAAAGTTTCTTGACTGGGCTAGTGAATATATCCAAGCTGTATATGCTTGTTCAGCTCTCTTACTGCAGCATTTCTTCCCTTTGTTTTGCCTTCCTTTCGTTTTCGGTCAAATATCAAAGTCTCTTCTGACATTTATTTAGCATTGAAAAGAATGGGAATCACAGAACACTTAATGATCATTAAAACATACACATAAATCAAGAAGCTGTTGTCCGAAGAGAACTTAAATTCAGGAAAGATAAGTGTCAGGATTATATCCTTTCTCCCTACCCATTTAGTCTGTATGCTAAGTAAATTATTCAAGAAGGTGGCCTATATGAAGAATGTGACACCAGGATTACGGTTAAGACTTCTCAAAAACCTGGGTTATGTAGATACAGTCATGGGATCAGCATTTAAGAAATCAAAAGATATGCTGCGTTGGGGAAATCTACTGTTAAGGATCTCTCAAAAAAATATTAATGACTACAATAGGATGGGTGAGGAACATGCACACAGATGCACACGGGAGGGGAGTGTGGGGGATAAAGAAAAAATAAAGACTATGATAGGCCTGATCCAAGTCATGGTATTTTCAATTGCCTTCAATATGGATTATATCTCAACATCAAGAAAACAAAAATACTTAGGAATAGACCAATAGGTCAAAATAGATTGAGAAAGGACTTAAGTTGTCAATGATTTCATCTTACTTGGATCCATAAGCAACACCCACAGTAACAACAGTCAAGAACTTAAAAGACATGTTGTACTGGGAAAAATCTGCTGTCAAGGACCTCTCCACAGTGCTAAAGAGCAAAGATATTGAAGACTGAGGTGTGCTGATACAAGCCATGGTATTTTCAAGTGCTTTCTATACATCTAAAAGTCGGTAAATGAATAAAGCCAAGAAGAGATGCCTGTGAATTGCGGTGGTATCAAAAGTACAGAATATTCCATGAACTGCCCAAGGAATAAACAAGACTGTCTTTAAGGAAGTCCGACTAGGTGCTACTCAGAGGCAAGGATGCTGAAATGTCATCACATATTCTTTGGGCTTATTGTCAGAGAGGGCTAGTCTTTTGGCAAATGACAGCTTTTTTTTTTTTGAAAGGTGGAAGGTCCGCAAAGAGATTAACACTGTAGTGTAGCAGTTGGCTCAAGGACAACAGAGACTGTGAGGACAGTTCAGGACAGGGCAAGATTACAACTTTCTATTCAGATGGTCGCTGTGAATCTTAGTCAACTTGGTGGCATCATCTAACAACAAGGGCTCCTTTAAGCAAGGATAATGAAAGTTTGTCTCACATTACTTTGGATATGCTACTATTCCTCGGAAAGGCAGACAATGTGCTTGGAAAGGCGGAGTGTCAGTGAAGAGGTAAAATTCTCAATGAGATGGACTGACTGTGATGCAGTAATGGGCTCAAGAATGTTAAAGGTGATGAAGATGGCGCAGGGCAGGACAGGATTTATAGATTCCCTATGAGTCGTACCTGACTCAGGACTCTTAACAACCACCACTGCCTTCCCTCCAACCTGCATTCATTAGCCCCCTTAAGTCCTTTCTTTATGAGTGTTACTTCCATGGCCCTCCAGGTGGTCAGGATAAAGGACTACGGCTAATGGCTCTCACAGGACGCTTTTGACCCTCTCCCGCCCCCACTCGCTCACCTTCATCAACACTTGACCAGGCCTTTCACCTTCATTCTTGCCACGTGCCATCATCCCTCTGCTTTGCATAGTGTTCGAGGGGGTTCTGGGGATCCTCTGAGATAGTGAGGCTTTGAGAAAGGGATGCAGTTGCAAGTTGCTGTTATCAGCAGAGGTGGAAGCTACATGCTTATCTTGGAGTAACTCAACCCTTTCATTGGGGTCTAGGCTGTTGATACTTAACGGATTTCAGGCATCTGCGCAGGCGCATCTCTCTAGTCGCCTTTCGAGAGCCAGCGATTGCGGGACTGCGCAGGCGCAGCACGAAGCTGCTGGTAGCCTTCAAATCCAGCTCAAGTGTTGTGCACCTGGGTCAATTTACAGACCTGTTCAATTCAGCGAGCCTGAAGGATCGGCTGTAAGCACTCATCAGGACACCTGTCTCCTATAGAAGGCAGAAGATGCTGGTGGATAGCCAAAGTCATCAATAGCAGGCATGATAATAAAAAACCTTTTTCATGTTCTTGTCTGCCGCTTAACCTACCATGAGCTCTCTTCTGTCTTAATTTTTTTCCTATATCTATCATAATAAGGCAGCTCTGGTGACCTAGTGGTAAGAAACTGCACTTGAAACACGAAGGCACAAGGTTCCAATCAACCATCTGCTGGAGAAGAATGGGCAATCTCTTTTTCTATTAACAGCCCCGGAAAACCCGCGGGAGGGTCAGCAATAGGTCGGTTCCAACTCGATGGTATTCAACAACATTCTAATCACCTACTGTACTTTATTTAAGACTTCTCAAAAACAAAAGTCCCAACATCAAAACCCCAGAAAAACCAACTCATTCTGTAAACGTCAACCGACTCACAGCTGACCCTCTGACAAGTTTCTGTGACTGTATATGCTCGGGAAGTTTAGCCCATCTCCCAAGGAGCTGCAGATGGATTTGAATGGCCAGAGTGGTACTACCTTTTGAGCACAACTTCATATGCCACCAGATTTTCTGGACTTCAGATGTTGTATTCCCAACACTGGGAGTGGACATCTGTACTGTCCCATCAATAAAGCAACACAACACAATAATACTCATTGTCCCTCTCAAAAGTTATTTGATATGTCATTGACATACCCACAGAAGTTTAAAATTTCCCATTTAAAAAAAAAAGTACCTTTAAATAGCTTCCTTCGATTCTTCTATTATGGTACCTAGTGTAGGCCATCTCGAGGACAAACTCCTGCAATAATTTACTTTTTGGGTGTCCTCGTCCTTCTACTGCAAGGTTTACTATCATTATTATATTATTATTAACCATAGTAATAATAGTATTCATTATAATAGTTAATATAAATAATATAGCATTAATTTCCTGTATTATTTACTATTATTAATTACTATAGTAAATAATAACATTACTACTATTTATATGAATTCTTCTAGGTGGTATAGCACTGGTCTGTGCATTGCTATACAGAGGTAACTCGTGGTTGCTGTGATGCTGAACACTGGGACACTGATATGTCAAA